GAGGACATCGGCACGGATGCTCTGGCCAGGTAAAGAACCAGAAACACGCTGAGACTCTAGTATGAGACCGATGTGCGAGGTTTAACATAATCCTGTTGTGTTTATTCCCAGGATGCTGATCGTTTACCCTCAGACCAAGACCTACTTCTCCCACTGGAAGGATCTTGGCCCCAGCTCTCCTTCAGTGAGGAAGCACGGAATAACTGTGATGAATGGAGTTGCTGATGCTGTGGGCAAAATCGACAACCTGACCGCTGGTCTCCTTAACCTCAGTGAGCTGCACGCCTTCACTCTGCGAGTGGACCCAGCCAACTTCAAGGTAAAGACACAGAGCTCTTCGCAACCCGTGCCATGTTGGAACATTTCCAGACTAGAAGCTGTTGTAGGCTTTCTGTTTATCCTTAGAAAAACTACAACATACCGCTCCCCTTACTACGGGTGAGGCATTTCAGTTTAGCATTTGCACAGAGAGGTTTAGGTGGGAAACTCATATCGGGAGCTACTTTCTGGAGTCGTAACATAGATCTTATGATGCATTTTGTTTTCCTAGATTCTCTCCCACAACATCCTTGTGGTCATGGCTATCCTGTTCCCCACTGAGTTCACCCCTGAGGTCCACGTGGCCATGGACAAGTTCCTGGCCTCCCTGGCTCTGGCTCTGGCTGAGAAGTACCGATAAACAGCAGAAATGGGACACAGCGGCTAGTTATCATGTGAAGAATAAATGAGTAAAGTGACAACATTTGGTCTCTGTGTTGAATTCATTTGGCTTCAAAAGGGTTCATAATGTCTATTGTGTAGTCTGCCTGACGTGATGGGATGAAATTGTTCAACTAATAGGGACACAGATGCTTTTTAAATAGGTTATATGATCAGCATTTGATACATTTGGGCTGTTATAAAAGAGTGTTTTTTTGTCTGTATCTTCGCCCTGAAAGTGGACACTGGGAGTTTCTGGCCCTGTGAAACTCAAGATTTATGGTATTATTGAAGCTTCTTTAATGAACTAAAAGTTTTCCTCTGAAACAAAGCTTAAGTTTAAATAGCACCCTTATCAATAACTATTTACTGATACAGTCTATGCCGTTTAAAGACAAGTTATGTTTAAAACTGAGGCCATAAGAGTATCAATACCTTATTACTTTTCTTAAAATAGATGGAAATGAAAAAAATGGGAATTTATACATGAGCTTTTGTCTTTTGCTTGAAACAAGAAACAATATATGCTCATTTCATCTTACAATCACAATTAGTCATGTATAGCCAAGAAGCAGAAGTCTCCCAGACGCCAAAATTACCAGCAGGTGGCGCTGCAGATTAGGATTTTTTAGCTTGTTATCACCAGCCATTGCAAGTGGCAACATAAATTTGGACCAAATGAATCTAGGACCAGGCTGGCCTTGTATGAAATGAAGAAGCATTTTTTTGCCACAGCCTAGAGTAGACGCTGAGGGTTACCCCAAATAAATCCATCTCTAATATCAACATGTTATTATAGAAGACTTATCAGAATCAATTAAAAAAAACATTTTCTGGCAATCTCATGATAAAATGTGATGGAAAATGTTCACACACCTACAAGTAAAAACAAACAAACAAACAAAGAAAAAGAACAAAACAGCAAGAGCAACAAAAAATAAAACAAAGATTTTTTTTCTTCTTTTGTAAATAGTTTTTTAGAAAATGTTTCAGACAAACTCTGTGAGGCGGTTCTGGAAAAAGATAGAGGGAAATAATTTTATTTTAAACTGAATGTGTTTCTAAGAAGACTGATCAGGGAAACTCGCAATAGAAAAGCTCCAGGCTTAGAGGGTCATTCACCAGAAGACTCACAGATTACTTTTATTAAGGTATGTTCTGTAAGTATGATGCTTCAAAATACATTTTATGTATTAGAATAACTTCCCAGATGCCTTGCCCTTGTGAGGAATTGTCAGCATCATTTTCTAGTTTTTAATTGGTAATAATGATAATGTAACCAGTCCCAAGATGTCTCAAGAGCTGAATTTCTCTCTGAGACCACCAGTAAATTGTTAAAAATGAAATCACACACATATATACACGAACACACCAATAATAATAATTCGGATAAATAAATAAATGGTTAAATGAGATCTTGGTAACGTTTGATCTTTTTGAGAGCCTATAATATTTGAATCTACATTTTGATTAACATCTCAGGGAAACATGCCTCTCTTACATAACTCTAAAATTCTAACGTCAATTTTGGTTACCTTAAATTGGCAGGATTCATAGGCAGCTTCACCCATTAACAACATGCCCTCTTTTAATTTCTACCAACTGAGGGCTCAGAGCTCCCCAGTGCACATAATAGAAGGCTGGTCAGCCTGAAGGGAAATGGTCAGAATTATTAGTTAATAAAACATGAGAATGCAATATTAGTGCACATCACACCTGCTTATGGCTTCACCCACCAAATATTTTGCCTTGCCCTCAGCTTTGCCCTAAAAGTCTCATAATTTCATGTGCTTTGTGCACACTGGCTAAATTAAATAGCATCATAACAAAATATAAAAACATCCAAACCAAAACTCTGATAACTGCCAATGCCCAGTGCAAGTCTTATTAGATAAGTTACCACACCTCACATGTCACGTAAATGCTACAGAAATGACAGTTAATTACAGGAAATGTCGGGCAGGGTTTAATACTACAACTGATAAGTTTGTCAGTTACTCCACTCTTGGAAATTATTTAGATTAATTCGATTTTTGTTTGGGTTAGAAAGATGAAAATGCTCCTGCACGCTTTCAAACAGTTATAATAGTCATAGTTATTAAAAAACTAACAAAATCACAAAAAACAAAACAACAACAAGCTAAGAAGTAAATAACCTTTATTCATTTTATTAATCATATACAACATGGTATTATTTTTTTAGCATATTGCACTGCTCTAATGAGAGGATTTTTCTCCTATTTATTTGAACTTCTGTGGACGATGATTTAAGAATCACTGTTTCTAAAAGTAAAAGCAAGTGGAAACGATGACAAAACTAAATCAACTCATAAGCATAGTTTTAAGTATGAATACTTTCAGTTTACAGTTTGGGACAGGTCCGACTTAATATTTCCCTTTACTTGTTAAAATAATCACCAAACGAAATGGCCTTAAAGATATAGTGCAGTTAGGAAAAAATTACAAATTGAACATACCATTCCCTCGTTCATTACGATGGAGGGAAAAGCTGAGCTATGAAAAACTGTGCCAAATTTACCAGCGTAAAGCCTTCGACCCTTGACGCAAATCAAAACGTCATTAACTCGCGTATGGACCTTGTCCAATCAGAACCTAAATTGAGCTTGTTGCAACGAATATATATATAGGCCACCATGAGTGACAACATTAGACAACCAAAGAAGTGATTTCAAAACTATTTTGCGTGGACTTAAACCGTCACCATGGTGGAGTGGACAGACGCAGAGCGCAGCGCCATCACCACTCTGTGGTCCCAAATCGACGTTGCGGAAATCGGAGCCCAGGCTCTGTCCAGGTAATATTCTTAACCTATTTCACAAGGCAAAGATACCATCATCTAAACTACAACAGATGACGTTTCACTTCTGCCCAGGCTTCTGATTGTGTACCCGTGGACACAGAGACACTTTTCAACTTTTGGCAACCTGTCCAACTCCGCTGCCATCATCGGAAATGCTAAGGTGGCCCAGCACGGGAAGACAGTGATGGGTGGGCTGGAGGCTGCCGTGAAGAACATGGACAACATCAAGAAGGCGTACGCCGCTCTGAGCGTTATGCACTCCGAGAAGCTCCACGTGGATCCCGACAACTTCAGGGTACGTTTGCGCTTGAGCTGTGATTGATAAGATTAGACATGGTCAGTCCAGCCCCGTTAAGGTGACCATTTTCCATTTTAGGCTCTGGCTGAATGCATCTCGGTGGTTGTGGCTGCCAAGTTTGGCCCCAGCGTCTTCACTCCCGGCTTTCAGGAGGCCTGGCAGAAGTTTCTGGCTGTGGTGGTCTCCGCCCTGGGCAGACAGTACCACTGAGGAGCAGGGACACCAAGCAGATGTGCAGCAGTCATCCAGCTGTTCTCAGAACAACTCCCCACCATTCAATGAAATTACTCCAATAAAATCCTAAATATGCATTACTTTGTATTCGTTTTCTTCACTGCGTTTGAGAAATAATAAGTAAACACTGTGAATCCCCCCCCCCCCCTGTGGATAGTAGCATACATTCCATGCCTTTATTAACAATCTACCCATTTTTTAATCATTCACTTACCCGAGAAGATAAACCAGGCAAGGAGAACCCAGGAAAATCCAACTAACAACAGACTACGAGCCATTGACCTGCTTCTGTCCATCACTGAAGCTCCTGGGGTCATAGCACAGAAGCTAAACACCAGCTCAACTGTTACTAGAGAATAAACATTTTACAAAATTTTCATACTTGTAGCATCATGATTTGCTAATGGACCCCCTTTATTCAAGATCTGTAGTTTCCTTTACTGCCCACAAGTGTGCAGAGACTGTCTGAGAATGGGATCTTGATGGAGACCAGCTCAATCCATCCACACAAGATTTAAGATTACATAGGCTAATGTCTACTTTTAAAGGTATTAATTCTACTCTGTTTTTTGATAGACTTGTAATTCAGCATTGTATTTGAGTCTTTCGGTCAGACCATCTTTTTTTTTTTTTTTTTTACATAAAATGAAAAATAAGACAAGTAATCTACCTCTGACCTGTCCAAAAGAATTTAAAAGTTTTTGGGGCTTCTCCTCTGCTTCCACATACCACCAAGATAACTAGTGACAGTATTTTGTAAATGCAGAGCAAGTTTACATTTGTAGTTATCAAAGGAACCCAAGAACACTTACAAATTCTGCAAAGCAGCAAAAATGTTATTACAAGCACTAATCACTGTTTGTCAAATTACAGTTCTAATAGATATCAAAAACTTCTGATTTATGCTTTTAAAAGTTACAATAAACTGTCATGTGAGTTTAAAAAAAAAAGAAAAACGGTCCATGGAGGCAATGTGGTGTGCTCCTTTGAATAATTTATTTGGGTGGGGTGTGCCTGAATGTGCAGATAATGAAAGTTTATGGTCCAATCTAAGCGGAGCAGCTGGTGGCGGCTTTCTATGACGAGACCGGAGCAAAGCTCCAGTTTGAAGACACTAAAAAGCATTCATAGTCATCTTCATCAATTTAATGTGAGGGGGGGCACGTTTCACAAACTGGCTGTTTATTGAATACATGGCGTCATGGTCAAGTGGACGGACGAGGAGCGCCACACTGTCAGATCAGTTTGGGAAAAAGTTGACATTGACGAGATTGGACCAGAAGTATTGGCAAGGTAGAGTGTTGTTTTCAACCATTCATTTTTGAGTTTGCTTTCGGATAAAACCGGAGGCTTTGGTAGGAGTAGTAGGATAAGTAGTTAAAGAAATATGTTTTTCTGGCTTACAAAGCAGAAATATTTATGGATAAAACACAATTTAAATTTTATTTTAAAAAGATGAGATATTAGTATCAATAATATTATCAATATGAACTCATCTTGAATTCACAAATGACACAACAGCAATTCTGATTCAAAGTGTTGGCTTTTTTCACTTGTAATTTAATATTTGTGCAGACTACTGGTCCAGAATTGCAAACGTGTCTCTTATGTTTGCAGGGTTCTGATTGTCTACCCCTGGACAGAGCGCTACTTTGGCATGTTTGGAGATATCTTTACTACAACTGCTATTTTAAACAATGCCAAAGTGCGCGACCATGGAAAGGTGCTGCTGAGAGCTCTGGACATTGGGGTGCAAAACATGGACAACATGAAAGAGGCGTACGCTGACCTGAGCAGGTTGCACTACGAAAACCTCAACGTGGATCCTGACAACTTCAGAGTAGGCAGTAACCCTCCTACAATCAACCTCCCGAGACCCTGCCTCCATTTTTGCCCCTCTTTACCATGACTCTTCTCCCTCTTTCAACTTTGACCTCTTGGCCTCATAATAGATGCTATCAGACAGCGCTGTTTGAAATGTAAAGTAAAATGCTTTTAGCAATTTGCAACCAATCTTGTCCTTATTGGGTAATTAGAATTTTGTAAATAAATAATATGGACACTCAGAACCAAATTAAAAAAACATTTCAAACATAAAGATAAACCCACTGAGCATATACAAAGAAAAACAGCCTGTACTATGATGAAGTCTAGTTATTATACTTATTAGGGCCCACTAATCCAATATAAAAGAAAAAAGCAAAAATGTACACCAAACAAAAGCTTGGGTCTCAGGAGGTTAATGTGGCTGAACTGTTTAAGTGGGGCATTCTGGATTCATTGTGCCTTGGTTTTGTCCACAGCTGCTGGCAGACTGCATCACCATCAGCGTCGCCTGCAAACTCAAGAGCAACCTGGGCCCCCAGGTCCAGGCCATCTGGCAGAAGTTTCTGTCCGCTGTGGTCGAAGCTATGAACAGTCAGTACAAATGAAGAGCCAAATGCAGAGTTACCAATTAAACCAAAGTTTTAACAATGTCTGTTTGCTGCTTTGAGGCCTTCATCGTGAAAAGTGACACTTCAGTTTAGCTTTATACTGAGAATTTATGAGCATTTAAAATATGTTTCTTTATTGATTGAATGTTTTACACAAGTGGACATTTAGGTTAAACTTGGATTGAACATAGATGCTGTGGAAGTAACTACAAATTATGAAGAAATTATCATTAGTGTCACAAATCTGTCCTTATGGTTTCATTCGCAGATGTTTGGGAATATTAATGAACAACTAATGTGTAAATCGATGCACATAAACAGTCAAAAATCTTTCAACTACAGCAAACTATTAATGGATAAAAAGAGGTATCCCTTAAAATAATAATATTCTGTCAGATTTCTTACTTTCAAAACTGTTTTGGGCAGGCTCTTTTACGGTTTTTCTTTAGTATAGAAGGCTTAAGTAACAGATGATAATGTTTGCTTAGAGATTTTTTCTCACAAGGAGTATTGATTTAGACTTACATGATGTGATCATCCAGAGAATTTTACAGTGTTCCTGCAGAGATTTTGCATATCATATATTTGTTACATATTCACAGGGTTGTTGTGTCATTAACCCAGAAAGACATCAGTCAGATTATTTTTTCGAGTGTATGCTTCTTTTCATGTTCCTTTTCATAACAATAAGTATACTACTGGTTTGTTCACAGTTCCATGTCAGTGACCAAACCCGTCCTGATGCAGACTCACATCTGTCCTGTTGTCAGACAGAAGCCTGTCTTGTCAAAGCGTTCATTTATCTATCAGGACAGATACACCTGCCTCTTTAAACTGTCATGCACTTCTAAAGTCATTAAAAATATTTCAAACCTTGTGGTTTCTCACGTCAAACAAAGTCGACTCCGTTTCATAATTCATCACAAAGACCAGGACCTCTATAGTTTCCTTAAAAAACAAAAAACAAGTTTCTGACCAGGAGCATCTATCTTGATATTCTCTCATACTTTTCCGTAATTTTCAACGCCTATAGTTTGAGAAACACCCTCATTTATTGCCCATTATTCCACACTGGAGGAGTGCTGTCTGGTGGTTTTTGTTGGTTCAAAAGTGCAGAGCAGTGTGTGGGGGGGGGGGGGGCTGTGGATGTTAAATATTTAACTACAAACTAAAGCAGTCATGGTGCACTCTATGAGTTTCCGCGGATGCTATAGTATAGAGATAATGCACGTCTACTGTCCACAAGAGGGCGCTGCCACCTTGCTAAAAAAATGTTTTAAAAAATATTGTTGTGCATGAAAGGACAGCTGTACAGCCTTGCATTTAGTTCAATATATGTTTTAATCATTTGAACCAAAAATGTGGTGAACTTTTGTGAATTTGAAGAAACTGCACAAACCTCGACTGAGGCTGCATCTGCACTTTAAAAAGTTTTAAACAGGTTTTGTATTTATTTTTAAACGACTTTTTCGACAGACTATCTGCAGGGAGCATGACTCTGAACGAAGTGAATATTATCTCTACCAGTGGCTGTATTGTCATTGACACTAGAAGGTTTTGGGGCTGCAGGATATGTTAAATAGAACAAAACATCCTGAAGTGATGAAAAACTCTGTGTTTTTGCCACAACCCTGACCTGAAAGTAAACAGTTCTAGAGGTGAACTGTGATATGAACTTAAACTTTATTTTTATTTTTTAGCCTACCTTGCAAAGTTGATATCCATCAGACCTCTGAAGAAACGCTCAGGACATTAATGCTTTGACCATGACGCGTGTCTCCAGATGCATGTCTCCAGATGTGCACGGTACAAAACCTCTCTATCATTCCAACTTGTTCTGCCCAGTTAACGTAAAATATCTGAGCCCTATAAAACACTGAGAGTAAAGTCAAAATGCTCACATTTTTGGAGGCTACATCAAAAGATCTGAAGAACACGTGGACAGGCTTCAATAAATCTCTGCTCTCCAGTAAGGTTGGCACATGAAAACGTCACGTGACTCATATTAGACTGCCTCGAAACTGATAGAGAAAAAAAAAACATGACTAATGGTTTGAAAGAGACAGGAAGTGACATCTTCGACTTCAGTGGTGCCAAGTGGGGCTGCTGCGTCCCTCACTGGGGGCACTATCTGGGCCTCCTTGAGGCGGCCCCGCCTCTCCACGTCCAGATAAGGCAGGAAACACACCACGTGCTGGCCGCAGCACTCACCGCAAATGACCCCAGCCATGCTGTTGGTGCCCGCTGATAACCACACATTTATTAATTACAGAAGTTGGATTTGAAATCAGTATCCGGTGACTATCACTGACGACATTAGATTTCACTCCGTTCAAACATTGTGGCTTTTTTGTTTTGCTTTTTACAGGAATCATTGTGATAATGGCATGGTTTGCAGGGCTGACTTGCCTTTGATATTATAGGTTATTTTAAGGTTTTCTTATCCTAGAAGTAAAAGCAGCCAACAGAAATATTCCCAGGGAATATTAAGTCATTGTAACAAGGAAACAATAATTTATCCTTCAATTAACTGTGGGAGTCTTAAATGAACTTCAAATGTCTCTTTTGTCAAGCATTCTTGTCTAATGATACCTAATTAAAATCCCACTTCATAAGAATGTTTTGGGTTTTCTAATTGTTGACTGAGATCATTTCATTTTAGGTTTAATAGGTGAATATTATAAGCAAAGCCCAGCTCTTTGTCATTTACTTGGTCTCATGAGACCCACTGCGACGAATGTGTTCTCACTTTATCTCCTACCAACTCCAACAGATCACTTGGATCCCGTCCAAATGCACATATCTTGGAGGTAACTCTGGTGGGACCATGCCCCCCTCTACCCCTATAAAAACCCGCTATAGGTTTGGGCTGCACGCGGCATTCAAACCTAACAACCTGCAACATGAGTCTCACTGCCAAGGACAAGGAAGCAGTCAAGGCCTTTTGGTCCAAAGTGGGGGGGAAGGCGGAGGCCATCGGTTCGGATGCTCTGTCCAGGTAACTATGAAACCTCTCTCAGTGACTCAACTTCATGTTCTAATTTGATCAGTTTAACTCATTTAACTGTTTTTCCAGGATGCTGGTCGTGTACCCTCAGACCAAGACCTACTTCTCCCACTGGAAGGACCTGAGCCCCGGCTCTGCTCCAGTGGCTAAGCACGGAAAGACCGTGATGGGTGGAGTTGCTGAGGCTGTGGCCAAAATCGATGATATTACTGGAGGTCTTCTTACTCTGAGTGAACTGCATGCCTTTACACTGCGAGTGGACCCTGCCAACTTCAAGGTACAGAGCTTAACACCTGTTGTTTTTGCTCATTGAGCGTCATTGAACTTTGAATAATTCTCATTATTCTCCAAGTCAGTCCATGTGTTCTTTTGAATGCATATTTCTTCACACCCGCACAGCAGGATGACGCTTTACGAGTAATACAGAATAATGACATGTTATTGGACTACATTTATTATACAGACCGGATTTTTGGAGTAATTAAAGTTTTCCAAATTTTATTTTATTTTTAGCAGTTTATCCTGGTGAGGTTTTAGGCTTGTCTGAAAGTTCTCAGTTTAAAAAATGGTTACAAGATTAACAGTTAGATAACCCTCAGTTGGAAAGTATTAATGACCTAATAGAATACAGTATTATCTACAAGAAGACATTCAAATATCATCAAGATCTTTATATATATTTTGTATCATATATCCTAAACTTTGCTTTCCTCTGGATTACACAGGCCTGCAAAGGGAAGCTAAAGCTGGTTCTCTACTATGATTTAATATTCGTTTCGTAAAACTATAATGAAATCTTTTCACAGATTCTGTCCCACAACATTCTGGTTGTCTGTGCCATCATGTTTCCTCAAGACTTCACCCCCGAGGTCCATGTGGCCATGGACAAGTTCCTGGCTGCACTGTCTCGCGCTCTGTCTGAGAAATACAGATAAACAGCTCAGAGGATGAGCAGGACTTAGATACACTGTGTCAGTCTGAATCTGAATAAAAGATCAAATGCATTGAGCGTGACGTAATGATTCCTTTTGCAGTGTTGTTTGTTGTTTTTTTCTCTTTGTAGATTCATTGAGTTTCAGATCAGAAACACACTATAGCCCACATTTAAAGCTTTACATATAAACAGGTTTGGATTAAACTGATATGATTTTATTATAAAATCCAAGAAAAAATAACTTAATGCATCCAAAAAGAAATGTCCAATTAAATTGACATTACGGTCATTCCCACTCAGCATCATCCTGCATGAACTCGATTTATCACAGATCCACAAAAAATTCATATTTCCCAAGAATTCCTATTCCCATTCGTCATTTCGTCTCCAAGACGCCTACTGCCCTGCTTGAGACTTTGTCTGTTTCTTTCAAGGAATCTGATATAACTCCCAGTTATCTATCATTGTCTTTAAATATATAACTTTATGTAACTTTTTAGCCGATTTTTAGATCTTTCAGTGTTCCTCAGTCTTGACTTTGCTTTCACCTGATCACTAAATGTATCCTTATTTCCTTTCCCTGAACCTTGCCGACCACCACAATCCAGCCCAGCATCACCCATTTATGGATCTTAAAGACTAGAAATACTGTGACTGGCACAGATGTTTAAAGAACATGTGTTTTTTGTCCAAGAATATAAAGAGAATAACATCCATCCATTAAAATCAGCTAGGATAAAAGCACACCTAAATTGACAAATTACATCCCAGAACTGTTTTCATGTCCAAGCCCTCCAGTAAGGTTTCATTTTTTCAGCTTTGTGATCAACGACACAACCAAACAATTCAAAACTCAATTATTTATTTGTTCAAGACCCCTTTGTGAGGTGTTATTGAAGTGGAATCGAAACAGAGGGATGTCTGCTGTTGTATTCTCAGAGATACTGCTTCCTCAGAGCGGACACCGACACATCCAGGAACTTCTGGAAAGCTGCCTGGACCTCAGGCGTGAATTTCTTACCCAGCTGACCGGCGACCACGATGGTCAGGCAGTCGGCCAGAAGCTGCAGTAAAAAAAAAAAAGACACAGAGTCAATCAGACAGCAGAAAACGGCATTAGTTGAGCTCTAGTGCCAGTCTCTCTGGTTCCGCGCAGCTTCACCTTGAAGTTGTCAGGGTCCACCTGCAGTTTCTCGGAGTGCAGCACGCTCAGCTCTGCGTAGGTCTTCTTGATGTCGTCCATGTTCTTCACTGCAAGTTCCAGACCAGCGAGCACCACCTTTCCGTGAGCTGCAACCTTTGGGTTGGATGTAATAGCAGCAGCGTTGTACAGGTTTCCAAATTTGGCGAAGTACCTCTGAGTCCAGGGGTACACAACCAGACACCTGAGGACGCATCCACAAACACCACACACTCTCTGTTATAGTAACTCGTGTCTCCAAGAAACCATCCAAAATACTTTCTTAAATATTACCTGGCAAGAGCCGCAGGGCCCACGATGTCTTTGTCTATCTTGGAGAAGATGTCCGGGATGGTGGCGCGCTCGAAGTCTGTCCATTTAACCATTTTGCCTCTCAGACTTGTTGCCTTGTCCTGCGTGTGCCATTGTCTGACCACACGCTCCTTTTAAAGGGACAGTTTTGCTCCCCCTAATGTTATCAGATGGGTGTAGTTTGACGGTGACGTGAGCATTGATTTTCAGGAGTCGTAAAAGCGATAAGAAACGACCAAATGGCCACTGCATGAAACGCATCTGATAAGAAAAGGTCAGTGCACATGGTCAGTCTTTCAACGGCCGTAGTGACTCTAACCGTCCAGCTGAAGGAGATCTTTACAAATCATCATTAAACTCAGAATTGTTTTATTATTATTGTTCAATGGCAAATTGTTTTAAAGTGGTGGGATTATTTAATTTCCTTATATCTTGGGACCCAATCTTGACCCTCAAGCTTGAGCTTCTCTTTGTGCTGGACTGATAGAAGCAGTTTTAATGACGATATAAGTTTACAACAAATAAAGGAAAGAATTACACAAACAAAACGCACACAAATGCAAAATGTTTGATGTTCAGGAATTATAAATATATTTTATTTAAGATGGCGTGTCCTGAAAAAAATAGTTGAAAGAGCCCTATAAACCCCTTTTAGAGTATTTGTAATCTATTTTCAACCTTATACGCGTGTCTACCATTTTCAGAAGAACTGAAGTTTTTTTTTGCATCAAAAAGATACCCCACTTGAAGCTCAGTAGAACCATATTTTGGAATGAAGAAATGTGGTTCGTTTCAGGAGCTTATTTTATTCAAATGGAGCACATTAAAAAATATCTGCATTGTAACGACAAGTGAGCTTCACACGTGTCTCAGTTCGATCTTAACCTGAATGTTCACACAGAACTAAATTACGCATTACCAGATTTTCTTTTTCTTTTTTCTTTTGTAAGGTTTGAACAATGATCTTGAGCTGCCGTTGGGCTCTGACTAAATTATACTGGAAGAGGAGTGGGGTTGACACTGAATCCAAACGAACGAATGGGATACCATGTAAGCAGGCTTTTGGGGGGGGTTCTAGTTTTCTCTCCTCCAAACGATACAATGAGTTTGAAACAAGAAGTATTATTTGTAATAAAAGTAATATTAATGAACGTTGACCCCTCTATCAGGAAGAACCGTGGCTTTTACAACGTTCTCTAAACATTTTTCAGTTCTTCAGATTCAGCGTGAGAAACGTCTTCATAGTCATTTTAACATCTTCTATTTTTTGTATTCTCTTTCCATCTTTATCTATGTTTTTTTGGTCCTGTAAGATAATAGAGTGACAGTCCACCATGGCCTACGTCACAGGGGCGTCCCCGGGTGTGTCCATTTCCTGTTTGATGGATAAAATCCCACCAGTGTTTGCACTGATCACCACATTCAAACGATCAACAGGCCAAGATGAGTCTGAGTCAGAAGGACAAGGACACAGTCAGGGCCTTCTGGTCCACAGTCTCTGGGAGGGCGGAGGAAATCGGCCCTGCTGCTCTGTCAAGGTAAGCAGGATTCCCAACTCATTCGGGCCTCCACCTCGTTGATATATACAGAGTTTGTCCAATCATTAATGTATTAATTTCCCCCCAGGATGCTGGCAGTGTACCCTCAGACCAAGACCTACTTCTCCCACTGGAATGACCTGAGCCCCGGCTCTGCCTCTGTGGTGATGCACGGAAAGACCGTGATGGGTGGAGTTGCTGAGGCTGTGGCCAAAATCGATGATATTACAGCAGGTCTTCTCGACCTCAGCAAGCTTCACGCATACACTCTGCGAGTGGACCCTGCAAACTTTAAGGTATCTTGATCCAATGTTTTTGCTTATTGGGTCTTATCCTCCTTATTCAATCATCCCCAGAACAGAAATGATCAGAAGGCGTTTTAATTCATTCATTTCAGACTGTTATGCAATAACAAAGGGCATCTCTTTGCCACTATCTTCCATCAGAGGTCTCTAATCATGACAAGTTAAAAGATGATTATTTCCCATCTAATTGCTTTTTTTTTTTTTTTTACAGATTCTCTCCCATAACATCCTTGTTGTCTTGGCCGCCATGTTCCCCAAAGACTTCACCCCTGAGGTCCACGTGGCCATGGACAAGTTCCTGGGCGCTCTGTCCCGTGCCCTGTCTGAGAAATACAGATGAAGTGCAATCGGGGTCATTAGAATAACAGGAATTTGCCTATCAACACAATTTCAAATAAAAGATTAACATGATTCCAAGCTTTCGAGATCCTGTTTCTCTCCTGTACATCAAGAAATAATGTTACGTGAAAAGCATTCATCATACACCCGCATGTGTCAACACACTTATTTGTTAATCTCTTAGGTTAGCATTTACCAAAATATTGAAGTTCATTTGGATGATATCTTAAAAATGACTGACCATTCATACACCTGAATGAAAAGAACTCTCATGACATCAACGATTTGCATTATGTAGCAATGCATGTGCTTACTTGACTTATCATTTACAGTGTAATATGTTTTTTTGTTTGTTTTATTTTTATGAATGTCGTTTTCGGCTGGTCACATACTTGTTTATTTTGGAACAGTTATGTGTATTCTGTGATCAACTCTGGGAATTTCATCAGCACTTCTATAACTTAAGAGATCTTAAATATCTGTTTTCAGGAGAAATTAAGAACACATTTCAATCCATTCTCATTTTTCTCAGACTTAAAAGGTTTGATGCCCTTTTTACATTGTTAAAGAGTGAAGGTGTATTTGACCTTTGACTGATAATCTACTAAAATAAGTCATCTAAATTACACAATGAGTATTTTTTATTTACTTTTCTAATGATTCTAATGATTTAATTTTAAAACCAAACTTTAACTAAACTTTAACAAAGCTTTTACTGAATTTAATTTAATTTTTACTGTCATTTAGTAACTTGCAAACAAAGGAGCAACACTTCAGACCTCGGGGGTGAAGTCTTGAGGGAACATGGTGCCAAAGACAACCAGGATGTTGTGGGAGAGAATCTGCAAACAAAACAGTGGATATGGAGTACCAACGAATATACATTTTTGCTCAAATGAAAAATTGCCTCAGCCTTGCTGGACACTTTAGCCCAGAAGGTTCTGACGCTTCCTTATCCTTAGCTGTGCGACTCATCTTGCCTCCTGATTGTTTCTGTGACTTTTGCGAACAATAGAGCTTTATATATATAAATATATATATAGTGTATATGTATGTATATGTACTACACAGGGACGTACGCACCCCAGTCAGCCACTGTGATATGTGCTTGTTGACGCATTCTTAGTGATATGGTAACAGCTTGCATGAGATAAGGCAAAAGGATGACCCCCTCTGAGAGTAACAATACTGAATTCAGGGACTTTCAGGAGAACTGTACGTATAGATGATCAGTTAATGTAATTAAAGCCCACGCATGCTCAAGAGAAAGTAAATTAATTTAAAACAAATCCAATTAGATTCCATCCAAATTGATTTAAGATTTAATTAAAATCCTAATCTTTCAGTTATTTTCATTGTATTTATACTCATGAATATTAGCACATTCAATATTATTAGTGCTTTTTGTGTCACGTCTCATCAATATGATAACCTCATGATATCCTTTTTTATTCTTAAGGAATTATTGCAGTTATCACCATTTTCTCGTGGTTTTATAATCTGCTAATAAACTCCTGAAGAAGATCAACTGATTTTTTTCCAAACTGAAATGGAACTGTATTGGGATTTCTTTAAGTGACATCAGGATGTTGCTAATCACAGTTTCAGTTTTGATATTAAAGTAACATTAAATGCAGTAGGTGGCGCTCCTCTGTCAGGGTGCAGTTTAATAAGCCACCACCTGCTGAATGTCTGCAGAGGATAACTCACGATAAATAAACGCTTTACTTTGGTTAAGGGTACAAAGCAAAAAAAATATGAGAGTGCATTTTCCATTCATTTTCCATGTTTACATAAATACAAAAATACTCAAGTCGTTTATCAAACACATTATTCTAGCTCTCTTGTTTATATTCCATTTGAAATAGTACCTTTATTTCGGGTCTATTTGCAACGGGCATTTTCACAAAACAAACTCAGACTCAAACTCGGAGGAGGAGGAGCTGTCCAAGGTGCTCGGAATTTACCCAGTTTCCAGCAAAGTTCAGATTAGCTTCATTCTACTGGATGGATGGTCTGCCAGACCCATTGTTGAAACCTTTTTAATGTATGAGAAACTGTCCACGATCTGATCTCCTCATACACATTTCTGACATCAAATCGGGATGACCAGAAAAGGTAGCCCACAAAAAAGAAGGCTGATGTAATGGAGGTTTTCATTAATTAAATGAAAGTGCTCCCCCTGTCAGTGTTACTTCTCACTGCCGGGCCTTAGTTCCATGCTATAGGGTCTCCCTCGGTCTTTAGGCGTTTTGCAGCACATCTTGTAGGCAAACAGGATTCTGGATTTGGCCTTCTGGTCAAAATCCAGGATCCTTTTGTGGGGTCTGCTGTTGAGCTTGTGAGGACAGTCCTATTTCGAACAATAATTGGTCACAGCTGGCTGTTTTATCAACTTTTGTGCTTATATTGTTTAATATTCGTCTAAAAGATTCCAAACTGTGGTCTGTCACACTAACGGAATGAAAGTAGAGCTTTGCGTATTGTTATCATAACTATTATTGTTTAGTGGGACTACACCAGGTTTAATTGATATTAAGAGACAACAAATGAATAAAAGACACCAATATTTGGACAATCAATATTTATTCAATTTGCTCATCATGCCCCGCTGAAAGGTGATGTTGTCATGGTTTAGGAGGACGTGCCGCTCGTGGGCAGTCCATGCTCTTTGGTCAGTTTTAACGGTATCTCTCGGACAGAGCCAGAGCCAGGTTCTGGAGGAACTTGTCGACGGAGACGTGAATCTCTGGGGTGAATTCACCGGGGAAGTACATGGCGAGGACCAGGATGATGTTATGCGCGAGGATCTGGAGTGGAACACACATGCGTTTATGGCTGCTATAGGTTAAGGCAAAAGATTCACATCCGAGACACAGAGACGCGTCTTTCTCAACAACGTGGTGCGTGAACGCTAAATCTGGAAAGTTGATGCTCACCTTGAAGTTGGCAGGATCCACTCGGAGCTTGAAGGCATGCAGCTCGCTGAGTTTGGACAGACCTCCAGTAAGGTCGTCAATCTTCCCAACGGCATCCCCGATGGCTCCCATGATGGTGGCGCCATGCTTCTTCACTTGAGGAGACTCAGGGCTCAAGTCAGACCAGTGGGAAAAGTACGTCTTGGTCTGGGGGTATGCGACCAGCATTCTGTAAAACATGAAAGGAAAACCAGAAATAATCAATCAACATCAATCAATTCATTCAGTTGTTCGCCAATTTCAAAAGGCACAATTAAAAACTGAAATAATAGACCAACCTGCCCAGAGCCTCAGCTCCCATCTCAGCAGACCTGGGGGCCACTTTCTCCCAGAAAGCCTTCACCACGGTCTTGTCCTTTCCAGAGAGACTCATAGTTGCCTTCTCTTCTAGATTTTTTTTCAAATGAACGAAATTATCTGCAATGCAAATTCTGGTGAAGAGGATTTGAACGTCTTTTTTTTATATCAAACTAAACTGGGCCCCACCCAGTATCAAATCTAAACCACACCTCTATGACGGAAAATGCTAGACGTTTCTGACATAGTTCTTCAGATAAAAGTAACCACACCCTCTTTCAAACACGTATTTTAATCTAACAACATATACATTTAAAATATTTATATATTGAATTAATTTATATATATACATATACATATATACGTATACAAAAGATACATATGGGACACCACATATATCATAATTAGTTAGTAATAACCTAGAAAGCTGATTATTTAATCTCCCCATTAATAAAAGACAAATATTTCTTTTGTAAAATAATTTTCTTTCTTTGGGACCAAAATAAACTGAAAGTGAAAAGTTGTAGTTTTTTCAAGGTTGTGTTGATTCAATATACTCACCTTATAACAAAAACAGCAATGACATGGTATACGTTTTCTTTTTACACTCAACCCATAAATGACCTTTTATGCTGTTTTGAATTAACTGTTTGGGAATACATCAGTGAAACATGCGCAATAGGCGGTTCGGAATATGAAGCAGTTTAAATTTGCAGCAATGTTTAAGATCAGGTCTTACGTTAGATCGTTTTTCCCTTTTACGAAGATGATTTTATGCACGTAAATGTAATTATTTTCAGTTTTTTAAAGCTACAATCTTAAACTGACTAAACAAACATCTATCTATCTATCTATCTATCTATCTATCTATCTATCTATCTATC